ATTTCTAGCTCTTCTGGCATGGAGATTGTCTTTATTTGATGAATACTTTTCCAAAACTTATAAAGATTTTAATTTACAGGATGAAACCTTTTTAACAGGAGACATCAACCCATCACAATTTAGCATTTCTATTTCGTCTGTATATAAAGAACTTTCCATTTTGCATAGCAACAAGGAGCCAGGTCCAGATGGTCTTCCACCTTCTATTCTTAAACACTTTATCTTTTTACTTTCTAGACCTCTTTTTCACATTTTTAACCTTTCATTAAAGACAGGAATATTCCCGGTCTACCGGAAAACTAGCTTTATTCTCCAATACCAAAATCAGGAGATAATTCTCAAGTGAACAATTATCGGCCTATTAGCATTTTCAAGTTGTATTCCCAAAGTTTTTGAGAGCCTTGACTGTGACTATTTGTCAGCAACTTTAAAATGCTGGTTCATCGACCAACAACTTGGATTTCTCTCTAGCCGCTCCACTGAACTTAATTTATTGACATTTACTGATTTCCTTATAGATTCTCTTGAAGATGGCTTCCAGGTTCATGCTGTATACACAGACTTTACAAAGGCGTTTGACCAAATAAATCACAAGATTTTAATTAATAAGTTGAGGAGTCTGGATATCCAGGGTGAACTTTTAGAATTTTTGTTATCCTACCCAACTAAAAGAATACAAATGGTACGTGTTTTTGTAATAGGGTTTTCAATCGTTTGAGATTAAGGTACTTTCAGGAATACCACAAGGATCACACCTAGGACCTCTTCTATTCAATATCTATGTTACTGACATTGCCTCCTGATTCCTCTTTGCTTCTTTCCTATTGTTTGCTGGTGATTTAAAATTATATTTGAAAATTAAGAATGATTGTGACTATCAAAAACTAGTCTGATTTGGATCGGTTGAGCTATTGGTGTGACAGCAACTAAAAAGTGTCATTTAATGGTTTTTGGTCGGAATAAAACGCCTACAAATCATATCTATACTATCAACGGTTACCCTTTAGACCCTGTATCTCAGATAAAAGACCTAGGTGTTGTCCTCGATTCCAGCTTATTCTACATCCACTATATCTCATCAGTTGTCCCAACATCAGTTTAACTTTTAGGATTTTTCAAACGACTTTCTAAATATCCCATCCATAAAAATTTTGAATTGTTCACTTGTGAGACCCCACCTAGATTACTGTCCATATGTTTGGTCTCCTCACTATAACACTCATATTTAAGCTATTGAGAAAGTTCAACACAAATTCTTAAGATTTGTTGCATTTAAACCAAACCAGAGAATTGAAGAAATTAACTATTCAAATATGGAAAGGTCCCTCAACATAACTTCTCTCCAAATCCGACGCATACACAAAGATTTCACTATAGTATGCTGCACTCTATTATTTTTGGTCCTCAACTATTGGAAAAAATTAATCTCCATGTTCCCAGTAGATAAACAAGGTTAAATCAACCCTTTTATGTTAGACCCCAACGCACAAACTACGGACACAATTTCTTCACGTCTAGAACACCAAGGTTTGCTAATTAATATTCCCAAAGGTCGGATTGTTATAGTATTCCAAAAGAATTTAGAGCTCAGCTTAAGAACCGTATGTGATAGCTTGATGTCCTTGTGTTTTCTACATTCTGTGTTCTACAATGTTTGTTATTTACTGTTCCTACTTTTATTTTTTGTATTATTAAATTTTTTAAATTCAATTAAAGTAGGTTACGTTAAGAATCTTCTGTAATTTATGAATAATGTCTACATTGTATTTTAATTGGGCGATTACAGGTTGATAAATAAATAAATAATAAATGACTACAATTATTGAATATATTACTGTATAAATTAATGTTGAAGAATCAATTTACCGTATTTACAGAATACTGTGTCATTTGTTATGATGGGAACAAGAACTAGAATTTCACAGAAAATATAATTGATTCGACTGTGTTATTTCCCAATGGGTGAAAGAAAAGAATAATATATTAATGAGTTTTCAATACATTTTACATTTAAATTAATTAGTTTATATTGTAAGAATGTTCCGATGATGGATATAGTAATGAGAAACAATTCACTGTATATCACATTTCTTAATGTCTGACATCGTTATAGTCCCATTATGTATTAAAAAGTAGGTCTTCAGTAAAGGAAATAATCAAATTATAATAATTCCAAATTAGGTATCACATACTTTCCCGTTTTCGTCCAAAATGCAGTAGAATAAGTAGGTTTTAAATTGCATACTAAATGACAAAATGACAAATATGTAAGTTGAGAAGATTAAGGTATGATGAGATCCTCAAATCCTTGGATTATTACTTCTTTTCTGTCAATCTGATTTATGTGAATGTTGGTTGGTTGTGCATACAATTTCATGTACAATTTTTCTAGTATTTTCACTCTGTCTATTGTCACATTACCTTTTACACCACTTAGCTGGAAGATTTCTTCTTTTCTACGAGTACTTCTTGATTTTATCTTCATATTTATATTTTGTGCTATGGTTTGTCGTTTTTAAATGTCCCAAAAGCTCGTATCAGGACGTTCGATATGTCTTTATAATATTTGGAAATGTATGTTGGCGCAGTTTTTATGACCGAAGACTACAACCATCTTCATACAAGACTGTTCAAAGCAGAGATATTAATTGTTCTCAAGCTATTTTGTTGTGGTAACTAACAGGTAAAGTAAAAGCCATATAAGAAGATTACTTAATAATTAGGCGATATAATTTATTATACATCATACAATTTATTTTATTAATGACATTTTATAACTCTTTATATAATATAATCTTTGTGATATAGCGCTCGAAGCTGCGACAGGCCATATTCTTTCCCAGCATCCTTTTCTGGGCTACTCTCCTCCAGTTATCCACCCGCATTATCTCTTTAGCATCGATTCTTACTTCGTCTATCCACCGCTTTGTTGGTTTTTTTACTGACGTCCCACCATAATTCCACTAAGAAGTGTTTTACTATTCCATTCTTATAAGGTGGTTTGTGCAGTGCAATATTTGTTTTTTTTACATACTTTGCTATCGAGGATTCTTTGTTATATTTAAATGACTCGTGGTTGAACCTTATTCTTCACATACCATTATTTTAGATGGGCCCCAATATCATTCTCAATAACTTTCTTTCAAAAGTATTAATATGGTTTATTGTGTTTTTGTGTCATGATCCATGTTTCTGCGCCATATGTTGCTATTGGTCTTATGGTTTTATATATTTTGAAGTTTACTTCATTATGGATGTCTTTGGTATTTTCTTCAAGCTCCACTTTTTTAAGGGACCATTTCCGTCGACCCTGATCCTACCTTTCACTGGGGTTGGCTAACCAATCTCCGGTAAGGTTGCTCAGATTTGCATAGCTAGGTGCGGAAGTAATGTGTCTTACAAAAAAGCTGACAAAAAACTAAGATTAATTGTAAGAACAATTATGAGAAGAATACACGGCCCAATAAACACAGAACAAGAAAATATAGAAGACTAATGAACCTTGAAAAAAGAATTATAACCGAAGGGGAAGATATAGTAACATTTATTAAAGCACAAAGACTGAGAAAATTTGAACACAAACAAAGAAGAGAAGAAGATGCACTAATTAGAAAGATCTTCTTATTCTTCTTGATGTGCCTATCCGTTACGAATGTTGTAACATGGTCATCATGGCAATCTTCATCTTATCTGAAGCAACGCGAAAAAGCTGCAAAGATGTTGTATTGAAACAGATTCTGAAGTTCTTTAACCAAGATGTTCTTCTTGGTCCTCGCTTTCCAAATATTTTTCCTTGCAGGATGGCTTAAAGGAGATCATATCTGGATTCATATGCATCTGGAGCATAACAGTGTCTAGATAAAATGAATAATTTTTCAATGATATGTGTAGATGAAACCTTATTTTTTGATAACAATATGTTTTTGCAAAGGCATAACTTTGATTATTTAGTAAACCTACATTAGAAGTCATAAAAAATTTAACAAAAATTATTAAAACATGTTTGCTTATAAATTCACTGTAAAAATACGATATATTATATTCCGTAGGTCCTATTTCAATAAAATAAATCGAAAACTTGTTAAGCAACGCTGATTGACACAACAGAGCAGTAAAATGTTATGAATAAAGATGTTGTAAAATATATCTTCGCTTATTTGGTCTACTAGTAATAAAGTTATCAGCCTTAGATGACAAAGCGATCTTCGTATGTGACTTTAACTTTATGAAAATCATGGAGCACTTGTCAATAAGCACTTTTGTAATATCTCTTCTGCTTCTTCTATTTTTTTGTCTGTACACTGTTATATAAGGTATATTGTTGACTTTTTAACATTTTATACAATTAAAAAGGTGGATTACATCTGTTTAACTGTTTTTGATGAACCTAATTTCTTTTCAAAAAAACCAAACCAATTATTTTGTTGCTTTAATATTTATTATGAAACCGAAGTACATGTTACAGTTACAGATCACGTCTTTTTAGAGTAATACGGTTTGGAGCCTAGAAATCCCTGAAACGTCACTGCTGGAGCTTCTCGAAGTAAAACTGAAAACATACGACAACGTGTACGACATTATTACGAACTTTGACCTGCAACATCCATTTCGTTCTTAATTGTCGTGAGGTTTCTTCGAGCATTCACGCCTTTTATTTTCTTTTATCAGCTGTGTGAACTTGTGAAAAATCGCTCACTCATCGTTACGGATAGAATGATCATTTTTAAAGTATTAAATTTGTAGTGTTACGAATTGTACACACCAGAAGAGGTTAGTCAACAGGTGTACCACAAGATGAAATTTTGTTTTATACTACAAAAAGTAAATATTGCTCGTTTTAGAGAACCAAGTCTTAAAGACGGCCACGGAACCGTCACTTATAATTTCAAAAAGTATAAAATATATAATAAGGCAAAAGGTATTAATTATTATTGACTGACTATATTTTATTGACAATCATATTACCATGTATATACACACAAACCAAAACCTGAACTTACCTCTAATTTTTTCGAATACTCCTCTTCCATTGCATCCTTCTGCCTCTTCAGTTCTTCGCTTTTCTCCAAGAGTGCTTTTCCTAATTCGGCGGCTAAAACTAAGTCGTTTTCCTTTTGTTGCAGTTGTGTCCAGATGTCTTCGTTGACGGCTCCCGCGTGGGATTGGTCTATGGCACTACGGTTTTCCATTTCTACTATGTATTCTTCTAACGATTGTAACATGGTTTAAAGTGAACAAGGCGGATTCCGGTTACGGAAAAGGGGAAACGAAAAGGAAAACGACGACATTGTGACCGTAATACACTAATCTGAAACAAAAAAAAGGAGATATAAAATTAGATACAAAACCAATTTAACTGTCAAGTACTTAGTTGATGATCATTATACGCTAATATGTTATTATGGAAACATTAATTATATCTATTCACTCCCAATCTGTAATTAAGTAATAGTAAATATATGTATCAGTATCAATTAAACAGTCCATATTTATTTTTTTTATCAGAATAGGATATTCAATCATTGAAAAAATGAAACTTGCCCTTTATTCCATATTGTTTGACTGTTAATTAGTTCAAAAGTCTTGGAACATCAAAAATTAACTACAGCTGATTTCAAATATAGTAGCGAGTTCACGAAATATTTTATTGCGAAGTCAATACAAATAGCTATACAGTGGCTTTGCAATATATAACGATTTAAGTGGAATATTTTATATTTGAAACCGCAAAATATTGTATTGATTACTTAAACGATAAATGAAATTTATTTTTACAATGATTGTTTTATATTTAAAACCGCAATTATTTAATCATTAAAAGGCATACAGAGAACTGCTAAATTATTTTGTAGAAATTCTGGTTTATGCTTTATATACATGTAAAGAAAAACGGAACACTCTTTTTGCTTGTCTTTAGTTGTAATTTTTAGATGTAATTTAGGTTTTTAATAGTTTGTTACGCCACTGTCAAAATCTTCTACTTCTACTAATAAAAAGTCTTATTTAGCTTTTGATAGTGATATTGAGTCTTGTCAACAATGCGACCGTAGTCTTAAAATAAAACGACCTATTGAGATGGATAGAAGCGATTTCAATAAGATGAAAGTGATATTATGCAATGGAAAACTATAAATAGCAATTGGAACTATAGTATTGAGATGCTATATGTTTTCTGTTCTGTTATATGGAGTTGAAGCATGGAAAATTACAGATGAAACTGATAATTGAGATGTAGTGTGAAGAAAAATAAATACTCAACACTATCGTTAGTCTTAACATGCTATCAATAATCCTTTATTCTTTCCGTTACAGTTAATAATTCAAATACGAAAAACACATATCATGTTTTCCACAAACATTCCTCGTCTCTATATAAAAACCAGTAAAAAGGATGCAAGTAGTATATGCAAGAATTATTCGAAGATACAGCACGAAGTCCGACTGAAATAAACAATCCCTACGTTCCAGAAATAACAAACGAAGAAGTAACTATAGCCATTAAACGGATTAAAGATGGAAAATCATTAGGACCTGATGAGGTGCATGGTGAAGTTTTAAAGCTATTAGAGGCACACCAAATCACAGATCTTACGAATCTATTCAACAACATCTACGAGACTGGTACTTACCAAAAGACTGGCTACTATCAATATTCATTCCACTTCCTAAAAAAGCCAACGCTAGAAAATGTGTAGAACATGATTAATTAGTTTGATGAGCCATGTACTTAAAATACTCCTTACTATCATTTACTCGCGCATATACACCAAATTAGAAGAACACCTGAGTGAAGTTCAATTTGGATTCAGAGCAGAACTCGGAACGAGGGACGTACTTTTTAGTTTGCAAAGTCTAATACAGAGAGCCAGCAATATCAACTGCGATGTGTGTGCATGTCTCATTGATTTGGCGAAGGTATTTGATAAAGTTCCACATGGGAAACTAATTGATATCTTAAAAACATCAGGACTCGATGGTAAGGATATAAGACTGATCTCAATCTTATATCTTCAACAAAAAGTAACAGTACGATTAGAAAATGAACTGTCCCAGATCTTCACAGTCGAAAAAGAAGCTAGACAGGGTTGCATATTGTCACTGGCATTATTTAACATATACTCTGAAAACATCTTTAGAGAGGCCTTGGATGAATCAGAAGATGGGATTGCTGAAAATGACCAACTTATAAGCAACATTAGATATGCAGACAATACAGTGTTGCTGGCAGATAGTTTGCAGGAGTTCCAAATGATGATGGATAACGTTGTAGAAGCATGTAACAAATACGGCCTAAAACTAAATTGCAAGAAGACAAAAATAATGATTATTATTAAAAACACCGGCATAAACGTTCAAATTACAATGAACGATACACAGTTAAAAAAAGTGGGAAAATATGCTATTCGGGCTGGAATATTAAGGATACTTGGGATCACAGCTACGAAATAAAAACTCGTATTAAAAAAGACGGAAGCTCTTGTAACTGTGACGGATTCCTTGTAACTTATCTTTAAGTATCAATATACGCATAAAAATTCTTAGATGTTACGTCTTTGATGTTCTCCTCTATGGAGTAGAAAGCTGGAGCCTTACAGAAAATGCCATAAAACGATTGAGGCTACCGACGTATGTTGAGGGTCTCAACCACACAAGTAACATAACTTTTCTTCAGAGGCCAAGAAAAGACAAAGAAATTATTAACACCATAAAAAACAGAAAATTGGCTTACTTCGGCCACATCATGCATAGTGATAAATACGGACTTCTACAGTTGATTCTACAAGGCAAGATTAAGGGTAAGAGAGGCCCTGGACGAAGACGTATATCCTGGCTGGCCAATCTTAGGAAGTGGACTGGTCTAACGTCAACATCTCTAGAAGATAGGCACATTTAGAATAAGAAAAAGGTTTTCGTTTTTTACACCTAGTCATAAAATGTATCTTTCTCGTATATGAAACGCTTGTAAATTAATTAGAAAAACAGCGAATATTGTTTATATCTTTTTAAACCTCCACACAACGTCCGTGTGGAGTTGTCTATCTACCATCGGACGCGTGCCTAGGTGGTGGATAGGAACACTCTAACCGGTCTTAGGACCGATGGGTAGTTGTGAAATAAAAATACCAACAGCGAACCAAAACTTTTCCTGTAAAAAAGCATATGTTACGGAACCTCAGGAACTATTAGCTTGATGGAAGGGACAACTGGAGAGAAACTCTTGAGGAGGCTAGGAACCACGCAGGGTTATAAAGCCAGAATGAGGATGAATGTTTATCAAGAAATGGGTAGTAAGTGTTTTTGGAATTTTTAAAGGGTAATAAATCTTTCAGTTTTATTATTTTATATTATGTATTTTCTCCCTAAATATATAGCAAAAAATTGCTTATTTCTGGAATTATAACATACTGTACGAAAATAATTCCTTTATACTCGTTTAAAACGTTAAATTTGGCGGTTATGATAACTTCTATAAATTATTAGATTGGCACGGCATTTCAGCATTCTCCTGTCCCGTTTGGGACAATCATCCCGGTACTTCAGCATTCTATAATCGGAATCGCCACGGCAGTACACTCCAAAAACATTGTATAATCGCATCTTAACTCGCGACACTCTCTCTCCAAGAATGACAGTATATAGCAAAACAATAGGAACAAAGTTAATTTTAGATAAAAACGTTTGTAACAAGGTTTTTCAAGTCTTCATATTCAGCCAGTCCAACGTCTGGCTCTCTACTTATGTTATAGAAAGAAGACAATTTATGAAGGAAGGAAAAATAAAGTACTTTGGTCTTTGGTACTAAAAAATGAGTGAAAAATCAACAATAGAATTCTTCAAAACTACTGCAGACAGAGTAAAATAGGCCGTAATCATCGCAAATATTCTTAAAAGATGCAATTTTGAATACCTTTTCTTCTTGTTTGTGTTTTTTTTTTCATCCTACTTTATTGCACGTCTTTACGTCTTTTGTAGGTTTTATACCCTTTTCCACAATGGTTTCTTCATATTTATTGATTTCTTGACTGTTGTATTCATATTAACCAATTTCCATAAAATTTTTGTTGATATTTTCTCAATCTATCAATGGTTCCAATTCGGATGAATATGGTTCTTATTGCTATAATGAAAAACTTCTCAGAGAACCTTTAAATAATATTATTATCTCTATAATTATAAATAAATAAAAAGAGGAATTTAATAAACACAAAGGTTATTTTATAGGTACTATTTTTAGGTAATCCCGTAATTTAAACGATGTATCATAAATTAATAAAGCTTGTTCTTTACAATATGAATCACTATTGTTAAATGTTTTGCATCAAAATCCGGTTTGTTAGTCATCAGCAACTAAACCTACGTACAGTACCCAAATAATAATACACCAGACACTCAGGGTGATACCTGCAAATATTGTATGTATCTTAAGTTGGATCTGGGCGTAACATTAGGACGATTAAGGGAAGAAAGAACATACAATAATTGAATTTTAAGATTATATTTTTTTAGCAATCAACGAATAAATACGAGGAAAAAAAAAACAGGAAAAAATGTGAAAACTACAGAGGAATTAGTATAATATCGTCGGTAAGTAGACTTTACGGGAAAATTATCAAGAAAAAACTAGAAACTGAAATAATAGGAAAAATTGGAGAAGACCAAGCAGGGTTCACAGTAGGAAAATCATGCCTAGATCATACGTACACATTAAAACAACTGATAGAGAAGAAAATGGCAAAAGGTAGACCGGTCCATCTGGCGTTTGTTGATCTAAAGAAAGCATACGACTCAATACCTAGAGTCAAATTATGGGAAGCAGTGAATGATCTCGGAATCCGACAAACACTAATAAAAGCAGTTAAAGCACTGTACAAAGAAAACAAAGTAGCTATTAAATGTGGAAATAAAGCCTACAATCCATTTAAGACGACAAAAGGACTTCTACAAGGCTGTGCTACGTCCCCTACTCTGTTTAAAATATTCTTGGAAAAGACACTCAAACCATTGAGGAGAAAGTGCGAAGGAATGGGCATACCAGTAAGAGACGAATACCTATACACCTTAAGTTTTGCCGACGATCAAGTAGTCATCGCACAAGATGAAGAAGATCTCAGCTTTATGCTCAGAAAACTAGAAGAAGAATATAAACGGAATGGAAATAAACCTAGAAAAAAGCGAATACCTAACAACAGAAAACAAGGATATGAAAAACCTAGAGATAGACGAGGGAAGACAAGTAAATGGAACAGATAAATTCAAGTATTTAGGAACGATAATATCGAACCAGGGAACAACAGAAGAAGATATAAA